AGCTGAGCAAGGAGCACCCCAGCCCTGTGCTGGTACAGCACAGTGCTACCCGCTGCCTGCCCCTGCCCACGCTGGACCGGGGCTGTATCTCACCCCTCGTCCGGCATTGAGCCCAGCTGACGCCGACCGCAGCCGTAAGAGCGATGCAGGATGGGGGCCTGGTGCCTTCTCTGCCCTTTCCAGCCTCCCCCCACCTCAGTTTTCTCGTGCGTACAAATGGGTTTCGTTATTTAGCTACCTCCCAAGGGCTCGCGAGGACCGGGCAGGGGCCGGCGGGGAGGGGGAGCCACAAGGAAAAAAGCACTTAGCGGAGGATTTGCCTCGGCGTCAGAAACCCTCGGGGAACCCTCACCCCCGCGGGGCTGGGGCACCCCCGGGCTTCACGCGGTTCTGCCGCTCCCCGCCTGCCTCGTCTCTGCCCAGCCGACGGCTTAAAGCACGTTTCATTTCGCCTGGTATTTAATAGAATTTAAATCCTTGTTGTCGATACCGCAGCCTGCACAGCCTTGCTGATGCTCAGTTGTTATATATGCTTGCTGCACTGTGACAGTATTATATAAAAAGCTTTGTATTGTTAATTACACTTTTTTTTGGGTCTGTTTACATTACAAGCAAATGACATATCAACAGAGAGCTTCTTGCAATATAGGTGGGGGAGGGAGGGGAAAGTATGCCAAAGAAATGTCTTTAAAGGGGTCTTTTTGCATTTTTATATAAATAGAATGTTTCTAGCAGATATGTTTTGTTTAATATATTAAAGATTTGCCAACCTGTCAACATCTACTGTTATTTCTCACAGACTTCGCGTTCAAATACAGCGGGCCGGCAGGCACGGAGAGGGCACCGTTTCCTTGAGCGAGCAGCACGCTGCCGCGAGCAGCCAGCAGCACCGTGCACGCGCCGCCCAAAGCTGCGCCTTTGCCACCGCTTTCCAGCAGCTTCACATCCCTTATTGAACCAAGGATGGGGTAGTTTTCTCTCGGCAGGTGGAGGTTTCTCCTTGACCCTCACAAACCCGTTCTGTCAAAGGGGGTGAAGCATGAGAAGGTGAAACCGTCCCCGGAAAAGCCGGAGCAGCGCTACGGAAAACCAGCGCCAGCGAAGGTGCTGGAGACCCTCCCCTGGGCGTCACCCCCGTCGTAAGCCCACGGGCTCACCAGGCTCATTCGTGACGCCGCCCCGCAGGACTAGGACTCACCAAAACACCTTTTACCAGAGGCTGCAAGGAGAGAGAATCCAGAAACCAGTCCTGGCACCTGTGCTTGTATTTATTTCTAACAGATGTAACAGAACCCGAAGCAGTCACTATAAAAAGCCCCGTTTTCGTCCAGAACATGAAAGAGGACGTGGCCCACTCCCTCCCCACGACCCCGCTCCCTTGGGCAACTGTCCCTGCAGTGTTCGATGGCTCTGTCACCGTCGGGTCTCATGCTTTTGGTCCCACAGTCCCTGCTGCCCCGGCGTCTCTGGCAGCACCATCCTCTGGTTGCCGGCGACAACCATCTTCACGGCCAGGCCTTGGCCTTCCTGAAGGCCCGGATCTCCTCCGGGCCCCGCAGGTACTGCTCGATTTCGCTGTCGGAGATGGGCTCGTCACCGGTGATGGCAGAGTCTGAAGCGCTCGGGGCTGCGGTCCGCAGCCTCTTCCTTGGATTGATAAGGCAGGGGGGCAGCAAGGGGCGCGGGCCGCCCTCCTGCTGGGGGTTTCC